AAGAAGAGTGGATAGGTCTATAAAGTAGCAAGTCCCCCCCCCCTTTCATCTCCCACTTCCTCTCATCTCCAGAATTTCGCCCAAATTTGAAAGCTCATATCTAACTGCTATGGTTCTTACATATATCTTTGCTGAGTGGAGTACCGAAAATAATTCACTGCCCACGCGGAAGTACAAATAATTCATTTGCATGAACCTTAAATTTTCTAAAGCACTTTCCAAGTGGACCAATCAGCGTCCTCGGGTGTGCACAGTGCGCTCATTGGTCAGCTAAGCGTGGCGGCAAAATTTCCCGGCAACAAATGCATAATATGGGCTGCCTTAGGCAATGCCTAGAATCCTTTGGAATCATTTTCAAGAATTTTTGTCATCGACACTTTCTTTCCGCAGCGATGTTCTGGCTTGTTCATGTAGCCTACAGTTATACAGAAATTACCGGATATCATACGCTTATAAAGATCTAATAAAGAACAGAGTTTTGAGAAAAGAAGTTTTTGCTATTCGAAATGGTCGCCTGTTGATCGAAATTGACTCAGCTATATTTTTCATGTTTTACTGCAAAAGTTTGTGCCAATCACTGTCATCATTGTCGGCTATATACGTCAATGCATGCGTAACTTGATTACTTTCTCTTCACAACAGCGTTGGCTAACAAACACTGATAATAGCTGCATCTCGTTACTCTTTCTATTGTAGATATAAGGCATCAAGGCCTTAATTGAGTTTGATGTCACGAGTAACAGCTTATCAGCGAAATGCATTATATCGCGAGTGTTCTGCAAAATCTGATCTGGTTGAAAACTAGAAATTTGTCACAAAAAGACAGCTGCGGTGAATGAAATATGTTGAAATATATTATATACAAACGTTTCTATTCAAAGTATTGTTCCTGAGAGTTTAAATCCTTATATGCTAAAAGTGAAATGAAATCATGGACGGAAAGGCGCAGGCGACCGTTTTGCACTACAGTACCCATAGCCACCTTTGGCTTGCTCTATGTATCTCGTCGCAACGCGGTTGTGGTCCTGCATGGAATTAGCATGGCAGCAATAGGTCATGCAAAACGGGCTACACCGACCAAAAAATTGGAAGTTTTAGCCATCTTTATCTGGTCTATTTTTTCTACTTTGCTTGCAGTTCATTTCTCAGACTATACAATCATTTCATCCTCCATATGGTTAGATAGTTGTTTAGCAAAAGATGTAGAAAGTAAATAAGACATTTGCTACGAATCATTTCATTACCTTTCCTATCTTTTCGTGCACTTGAATGGTTCCAAGCTCAATAAATGGTATAATTTGGCCAGAATAATCTGATGACGACAGGGATGAGCGTTCTTCTTAAATGTGAGAGATGATAAAAAAAAATGAGGAAGCTCTTTCAGTAAGACTTACCCAGTCTCAGCAAAGTCTCTTCCGTTACTCGACTAGTTCGTCGGGATATTACATGATGTAGTGATGCCTTATCACGTAAAAAAGAAATCTGCAATGATACGTAGAATTTTTGACCAATATATCGGAATTTACTTACCTTTTTGCAGCAGTCGTGCATAATTCTTATCCTGAATATTAGCATCGATAATAAAAATGTGAATATGAGAAATACCAGTATTGGGAGGAACAACGAAGCCGAATTTGCGATTGGAGGATAGGAATGTGACTGAAATCATCACAATTTCAAAGCGAAGTATTTGTCATCATATGTTCATATGTACTAGGCTGGTCCATAGTCTTGCATCAATAAATGCTACAATTTATATTTCTTAA